AAAACAGCCCTGACAATTGCCTTGTGCTTAACTAATGAGAAAAGCTGCACACACCAGGCACAGGAAGACAGTTCCTCCTGATTCCTCCCACTTTCTGTTGTGTCATATACAATAACCAGGGGGAGGGGGCTGTATCTGAGCTCCCTGCCATCTCCAAGAAAGCTTGCATGGGCCTCCTGACTACCATTCATACTTGCTGAAAAACAGCCCTGACAATTGCCTTGTGCTTAACTAATGAGAAAAGCAGCCAGCTTCTGGGATTTTCTCTTGCGTGGTATCAGTTTGTGAATGATAGTGAGCAGAAGAGGGTATCCTGTAGAAACATATATTGACTGCTGCTATTGGTGTTGTCAGTATTCAGGCTGCCCTTTACTACGTAAAGCTTGACATCCATTTTCCTGTTGGCAACACGGACACCATATTGTGCAGCATTCCACTGCCCTTTGCTATGTAAAGCTTGACATCCGTTTTCCTGTTGGCAACACGGACACGATATTGTGCAGCATTCCGAATCATGGATACAGAAGCACAATATTCCACATTCATAAACCAGAGCGTTTTTTTAATTCAATTAATAAACAAATACACATATACAGCTTGTCCACAATGTGATGCTATGTCATGCTTTTCCTGACTAAAGAAACAACAGAAATGTGAACATTTTTATTTTTGCAGGGCTACTATGGATTTTCATATTGCATATGGATCAGGAATTTTCTGAACACTTAAACATTACTAAAGAACTGCCAAATATCATAAACCAATATTGGTATGCAACTATACGAGATACAACGGTATCTAACTGGGGTAGACAACAACTGAGGACCAATTAATTTTATTTATTACGGTTGGGTGACCAGTTCATAAAACATATTTATGGCTATAATATACAAAATGCAGTTTATAAATATACAACCAGTTCATAAAACATATTATGTGGTTAAAATATACAATATACAATTTAAAAAGTGTACAGCCAGTTCATAAAACATATTATATATTTAAAATATAACAAATGTAATTTAAAAAAGTGTATAACAGATAATTATTTGTGTGTGGCTAAAATATACAAAATGCAGTTTAAAAATATACATACAACCAGTTCATAAAACATATTATGTGGTTAAAATATACAATATACAATTAAAAAAGTGTACAGCCAGTTCATAAAACATATTATATATATAAATATACAAAATGTAATTTTAAAAAGTGTATAAGAGATAATTAATTGTTTACTGGTTGTAAAATATGAGAAGAATCAAATACAGGATTTTTATAGATGTCATTTGAACCATTGGATCATCTAGGGCAAACTGGTTTGGACAGGGTCTTTGGGTTATAGGGAATCCTTCCTACACATTTGCAAATATGTGTAAACATTTCCTCCCTTCGGTTAAAACCACATTTCTCTACGCTGGAAAATAAGCCACCGTCATGCTAAAAACCAGTCAACCTGTGAACATGGGAGACTATAAGGGAGCGCTGTGCCATTGCTGCTACACAAAATTTTGCTGCAGAGTGTATAATAAGGGAGAAAGAAGTAGCTTGATGTAAAATTCATCAGGTCTCCCTGAATATCTGAGAATGATTGGGCTCAGGAAGTTGGTGTGTAGATCTCTATAGAAAAGACAGTACAGCAAGACATGACCTACAATTTCCACTTGGCCGTTGTTACATGGACACAGGCAACCTGAGATAGGTTTATGTTGAAATCTTCCCTCCATGAGCTTAGAGGGCAAAACACTAAGTCTCACTAATGTGAAGGCTCTTCTGGTCTTTGCTGAATGGCTGAGGGGATATGGTGACCCCCTTTGGTGTGAAAAAATCTTATTAATGCTGCTGCACTTTTATTAGCATTCAGTGCTGCATGCTTTATGTGGCGGGCCCAGGAACCCGAGGCATGAAAGATTATGCCCAAATATTTGTAGCTGGAAGCCTGCTCTGTGGGATGACCATTGATAGCCATTGATTGATAACTTTGGTCTTCTGGGGAACCCGAGGCATGAAAGATTATGCCCAATGACAGACATTGATTGATAACGCAGCATTGATACATGATGTAAGGGCAGCTTGGGGGGATGAAATTCAGCCTTAGATAAACCTTCGACTATGTTATTAATATAGACTTTAAACAAGGTGGGAGCCAGTAACCAGCTCTGTTTCAACTAGGTTCCATGGGGCTGCTGCTGATCTATCCTGATTACTGCCAAATTTCATGTCACATTGTCAAAATTCAACAGCAGTGAGAAAAAAAATACTGTAATTTCCTTTTAAAACAATTGTCAGAATACTGCTGGCATAAGTTTTGTGCGGTTTGCTGTGGCTAGCTAGTGAGTTGGCCAGGTGCACTCTGACCAAGAGTCTGGTCATATGCCTGCCCATGAAACTAAAATATGTTCTGCACTTCACCAATTAGCAGCAGCAAATTACATAAAATGTACACAAACACAAACATAAAATGTATACAAATGTTCCAGCCAAAGCCTGCAAATAGGATGCATCTTGCTTTCAAGCTGAATTGCTTTCCTGTAGGGATTTCTAGTGAGGGGAGGGCTCATCCATGAAATATGTGTTTGGGAGCATTTGTGGCCTTCAGAGGCCTGAGAATCCCCCCACACCGACCGTTTGTGCCTGTGCGTGCACACCTGCGCCCACGTGAAATATGTGTTTGGGAGCATTTGTGGCCTTCAGAGGCCTGAGAATCCCCCCACACCGACCATTTGTGCCTGTGCGTGCACACCTGCACCCACGTGAGTGCTCCCTCACCCCTTCGCACATGTGCACGAGTGCCCCGAGCGCTGCCCTTTGCGCATGCGCCTGAGCATGCACCTGTGCGTGCACACCTGCGCCCACGTGAGTGCTCCCCCACCCCTTCGCACATGTGCACGAGTGCCCTGAGCGCTGCCCTTTGTGCATGCGCTTGAGCATGCACCCGCCCGAACATCCTACTCCTTTATGCATGCGCATGAGCACCCGCACCCCTTCACACATGCACACGAACATCCTACTCCTTTATGCATGCGCATGAGCGCCCGCACCCCTTCACACGAGTACAGGGGGGTGCCTCGCCTTCCTCAGCTGGTCCATGGAGCTAAAAAGGTTTGGGACTGCTGCAACAGAACACAGTGGGACTGCAGTATCTGTGGGAATAACTTTCAAGTTCCCTGCAGATGCTGGAAATTGAGGCTCCTCAGCTGGTCCATGGGGCTAAAAAGGTTTGGGACTGCTGCAATAGAACACAGGGGGACTGCAGTATCTGTGGGAATAAGTTTCAAGTCCCCTGCAGATGCTGGAAACTGAGGGTACAGGAATGCTATGTAATGGTTCTGTCTAGTGGGCAGTCCAGGTAATACATCTTGGAAATGCATATTTCTGGGTTTTTTTATTTAATATTTTCAGGTAGTGGATAAGTGAAAGTGCAGGTTCTGATTCTAGTGGGCAGTCCAGGTAATACATCTTGGAAATGCATATTTCTGGATTTTTTGATTTAATATTTTTAGGTAGTGGATAAGTGAATCTGCAGGTTCTGATCTCATGGATGCAGCACTCCTACTGTATATTGCTTTACAAATGTCTCTTGGTTGATCCAGCCTCCCTTTTCTAAATCTAAGTTACATCATTGTGCTTCTAAATAGTGCATAACTAAAAGGGAGTTGGTTCACACTCTGAATGGAAATAAATTGTTTCAAAGTCCTCACAAAACTAATGAACATCCAATTCATAATGTATTAATTATGTATGATATTCTTATTGTCATTGCCAATAGATCTGAAAGTGCTCATATTTAATATGCATCTTGTGTGATGTAGCTTTTTCCCAGCTGGATATAGGGCAACCAAATAGATAGAAGTGAAACTCACCAGACTCATTCCCAACAACTTATAGTTGGAGAAATGACATGGCAGTTGACTTGCAACTTAAGAGTATGTTCCACTGAACCAAGTAGTAGTCTATTTGTGACTTACTCCTGAAGCTGAGGCTCCAGTACTTTGGCCATCTCATGAGAAGACTCTCTGGAAAAAACCCTGATGTTGAGAAAATGTGAAGGAAAGAAGAGAAGGGGATGCCAGAGGATAAGATGGTTGGACAGTGTTATCGAAGCTACCAATGTGAGTTTGACCCAATGCCAGGAGGCAGTGGAAAACAGGAGGGCCTGGCGTGCTCTGGTCCATGGGGTCATGAAGAGTCGGACACGACTTAATGACTAAACAACTGTAAGCAATAGGAGATTCAATGCTCATGTTTTCTTTCTGTAACAGAACACCACATCACCACTTTCGTATTAATAGGCTTGATGTTTTAAAGAAATATGGATTACTTAAATGCAATGACATTTGACACAATAAAAATTAGAGAAAAATCAGTCTGTTGAGCACTGAGCATTTTAAAATCAGAATAATGACTATTTACATTTTTCTTAGTCCTAAAGCTAGCCTCTCATTCTGATGTCTAATAAACAACATTAACCAGAATAAATTCACAGCAGATTCTAGTCTATGCCAGTGTGGAATTCAGAATCTTTTCCCCCCCTTCTTTTTACAGTAAAAAACAATAACCAGAAGTCTGATCCTGAATAAGGGAGCTTCATAAGAGAATTTGGAGGATTCGAACTTGCGACTCACGAGTGACAGTTCTGCGTTCTACCCCCCCTGCTAGAGAAATGCAGCAAGGCAAAGCCTTCAACAAGCCCCGCCCTCTCATAAGCGATACAGAGACACGTCAGCGGAGACCTGAGGACCCGGAAGCTTTATGGGCTCCCGCGAAGGGGGCTTCTTCCGGTGAAGGCCTTATTCTTTCTTTTTTAAAAAATATTGCGTGTTTTCGGAATTAATTTTGATTATAACCATGAAGATTTCATGCTCATTTCCGGCGAGGGAAAGTTATCAGCATATAAACAGAAAAAAAAGAGAGAGAGAGAGAAACGAAAAATTACAATGAATAATATGTGGCACCGGAAGTACATGCAAAGGAAGCTCGGGTGGCCGACGGAAGTCCCGCCTTCCAGGGCTCGGCTGCGTGTACGGAAGCCGCGCGGGGGTTGAACGTGGTCCGTCTTGGTGTCCGGGCAGTACAGGAGGCGGTGATGGCTCCCAAGGGCGGCAGTGGCGGTGCTCGGCAGCAGTCGGAGGAAGAGCTGCTCCTGCAAGACTTCAGCCGGAACCTCTCGGCCAAGTCGTCGGCGCTCTTTTTCGGCAACGCCTTCATCGTCTCGGCGATCCCTATCTGTGGGTGCACGAAGGCGGGCAGGGAAGGGACGGGAGGGAAGGGAAGGGAAAGAGGAGGAAGGAAGGGCTCCGGGCTGGCGGTCGCCACGTAATCCCCTTGGCTTTCCCCGAAAGGAACGCCACTTTGAGCCGCCTTGTCCCAAGCCAGACCCGGCGGTCCCTCTTGCCCCGGATGGGCAGCCCCTGGAAACCTATTCAGAGGGATTCAACCTCAGTCAGGTCATGACCAAGGGTGAAATCCTGCATGGATTCCCGCGGTTCCCCTCTTGTGTCGACAGTGCGACTGTTGCCTTGTAGACTCAGATACATTCTTTAGGAGGTTTAATCTACACAGGGGAATAAGACATCTGTGATGTAACCGCACGCTCTTGAACCTGAATTCCCATCAAAACGTGCCAGCACAGCCAGTGACACGCCTGGTAGTCCTACTATTCCTTTACTAAAACGAACCAATGTCACTTTGCTCATTTTCTGTATCCTTTTGCAGCAGTTTTCCAGGGCGCTTCTGGCAGGTCTCTGTAGTAGCCCTACTTAGGAGTTCTCGCCTGGTTACACTGCAGTGTAAGAACTAAGCAGGCCTAACTCTGGTAGCTTCAAAAATCAGATAAGTTTGAGCGTGTTCAGGATCATAATCGTGGTTCCAATTCAGTAGTTTTCCAGGGCGCTTCTGGCAGGTCTCTTGTAGCAGCCCTACTTAGGAGTTCTCTCCTGGTTTCTCCTGGTTGCACTGCAGTGCAAAAACTAAGCAGGCCTAATTCTGGTAGCATTTGAGCCTGTTCAAGATGATAATTGTGGTTCCAATTCAGCACCTGCTACAGTTCAGCTTGTGGAGAGGTGGTGATGCAGGGTGGGTTTCACCTGCTGAACGTTTGTTTGCATGCTCAGTACACAAATTCTAGTAGGAAGATCTTGGCATCCTAAGGCTGGGTAGTGAAAAGTTGCATCTTTCCCTCTGCCTGGCTTATATTTGGTCTCTTAAGCTCAAAATTGCTACTCTTTTTGTGATCCTTATTCTTGTGCCTTTAGTCTGCTTATCTGGGCTTTGAAGATTAATGAAATTGGCATCCATTGGGAAAAAGATAAGAAAGAAGAAAGGGCATTGCTTTGTGCTTAGAAATGTAGCAGTGCAGATGAAAATAGGCCTGTGCTGATTTGGTTTTTTGGACTAAAACTGTGGATGCCTCTGCTTGGGAATCTGTTGCCTTTGGGACCTACCATCAAATTGCCTCTGATTTGTGACCTATGAATGAATGATCTCCACAATGTCCTGTCATTGACAGTCCTGTTCAGCTCTTGCAGACTCAGACCTGTTGCTTCCTTTATGGAGTTAATCCACCTTGTATTTGGTCTCCCTCTTTTCCTGCTGCTTTAAGTGAATTAGGTGTGTACCTGATTTGAAACCTCACAAATGTTTCTCTTCTCCCGCAACTATTTGGATTAATTAGCCTTTGCTAATTGTTTGGAAATTGGAGGAATTAGCCTTTTCTTTGAGTTGCAGAATGTTTGTAAGGGCAAATAACATATGCGTAGAGTGGCATGGGTTGGAGCACCCTGTCTAAAGGCAGGTCGTATTGCATGTATAATTTTCCATGTGATTCTGTTTAGAGTGTCTATAGTAGTCTGTTTCAGCAAAAACAAAAGGATGTTATGTCTTCCAAATTTCTTATGGCATAAATCAGGGATGAAGAATGAGTGGTCTTCCAGCTGTTGCTGAACTGCTAAGCTCATTCTCTCTTGCTTTGTATACACTGGCTAAGTCTCATATAGGAGCTACAGCCCAAAAATAATTGGAGGCTCACGTTACACAGCATGGTGTAAGTTTTCAAAGACAACAGCCTACATGGGCTAGGTAAAAAAATTGTCTGATTATCTTACTAATTTTATTTGTTTTCAATTTTACCTATATTTTGTATATGTCCATAATTTTAAATTGTTCAATGTTCTGATACGAACAAAGAAAAAAATAAGTTATATCTTATTTGTTCAATGTTCTGATACGAACAAAGAAATAAATAAGTTATATTTTAGTAATACAGTGGTGCCTCGCATAGCGACGATAATTGGTGCAGCAAAAATTGCTGCAAAGTGATTTCGTCGCTATGCGATATTAAAAAGCCCAGAGGAATGCATTGAAACCACTTCAATGCGTTCCTATGGGCTTCAGACTCACCTTTAAGCCAAAATCCTCCATACGGTGGCCATTTTCACTGCCCGGTAAGCGAGGAATCTGTCCCAGAAAACAGCGGGCAGCCATTTTTTTTTACCTGGCAGCCATTTTGGAACCGCCGATCAGCTGTTAAAAATAATCGCTTTGCGATGATCGTTAAGCGAAACAGGGTATCGATCATCGCAAAGCAATTTTCCCCCATTTAAAACATCGCAATGCAATCGCTTTTGCGATCGCAAAAAGTTCATTGGTATGCGATTTCATCGTTAAATGGGGCGCCCGTTAAGCGAGGCACCACTGTATTGCTAGTTTTTAAGATGTCACAAATTCTTTGTTGTTTCCATTATAAGTGTTTTCTCAAGGTACAGTACAGGATTTATTTACGTTGCAGGAACCTGTTTGCCTATTTAGCACTGTCTACATGTACTACATGGCAGCAGCTCTCCAGAGTCTTGGGCAGAGGTCTTCCTCAGCTTTGCTAACAGAGATACTTTACTTAGAGTTGTGAGAGACAAAGTGTTTAGTATGCAGAATATTCCTAAGTCATTGGGCATTCCTTATTTGTAGAAGTGAAATTAATTTAGGCTCAATGTACAGGGAAACCTTCTCCTCTAGTAAGTATAAAGTGTTTGCGGGAAAGCAGAAACTGCATAATGTGGCAGTATCTTGCCAGTGTTTCTCATGTCCATGCAAATATTTAGATGAGAAATAGGGAACCTAGAACAAACTAGTCTATGTTTAAAGTCTTCTGCTATCTCTATATAAATTTTATAAATGGGCTCATCCACACGTTCACAAAATAATGGTTCTGGTCTTTCACTCCCACAATTCTTGGTCACTGGCTGTGCTGGCAAGTTTTGATGGGAATTGGGTTTCAAGAGCATTACATCACAGATTTCTTGCCCCTGCTGTAGATTAAATGTCCTAAATACTTCAGAATATGGTAAATAAAGTATTGCAAAGCTGGCACTTCTCTTTTTCAGTGAAGATGATTAATAGTTACAGAAAAAGTGAACAGTATTTTACAAAAGAAGGTACTTTGGTTCAATGAGAAGTCATGTTTTCTAATTACTGATTTTATGTTTGGAATTGGATTACTAATACCATGGTTGGTTAAATGTGGCAGCATGGTGGCTTGACCCAAAAAAGCCAGAGTGGAACAGGTGTTGGGGTTGTGCAAGCTTGTACTGTACCGGTGTCTCTCTTTAAGTAGATTGTACAAAGAACAAAAAAGGTTACTAATTGATACTGATAAGGAGCCACTAGGTGGCACTGTTACGCCTTTTTGGGGCTTTCATGTGTTGGTGTTAGTGAGCTTTTTAAAAAACGATTTCACAATTTGTGTGTAAAAAAGCATAGTGTGTGAACTAAACCATCCACGAAACATGTAGCGTCAGCATGGCTCCTCTGATCGTACCGGGGTTCTCTTCAACCATTGTGGCTAAAAATGACATTATGTTGTGAATGTATAGATGAGCCCATTTACAAAGTCTCTACAGTATAAGGACACCAGTAAACTTCAAACATACAAACTAGTATACAGAGGAACAGATTTCTAGTTTTTGTTGCTGTGAACACATTATGTTAATTGCTGAGACTTTATCATCATTCAGTCCTAAAAGTTACTCCATTTAAAGTCCCCCTTTTGATGTTTTCCACCATGTTTTGGAAAGAATGTGATGGAAAAGAATAAATATGCATATAGTTTAGGACCTGTTATTCTCATGTAGATCTACAGATTTGCTGATCTTGTTTCAAATAAATGGGGAAATTTTAACTTGGCATGTCAAGTTCTTTAACAAATATAGCTGTTAGTGTGTTGAAAGTGTGATGTTTTTCCTCCTATGCAATATATGAGGGAAGTTAAAAATTCTTAGCTATCTTTGAAACCTTTTTCCTTAGGGCTGTACTGGCGGATATGGCACATGGATCTTGTTCAGTCTGCAGTCCTCTACAGTGTGATGACCCTTGTCAGTACATATCTGGTTGCTTTTGCCTACAAGAACGTAAAGTTTGTTCTTAAACACAAGTAAGGATTTAGATAATTTTTCATATCCTTCTATAGGCTAAAAATATGTTCCTTAAAATATATTCTAAAGTAAAACGTCTTGCTGATATCTCTTACCCTGTCTTATCCTAGCTGTTAAAAATGTCATTGGATCACCTTGTGTTATTTTGACCTTTTAAAACAGAACAATTCCAGAATTACATCAATTGAAATGTTTTCTTGTTGTGTTAAAATGTTTTAATGCGAGGCTAGAACATTTTAAGGGTGTTTTGTTTGTTTTTAGAAAACAACCTTTGCATTTCCTCTGACTCCAGTAAGTCTTTACATTCTCTAACCAGTTGGATGCTCCTAATGGCTGTCGTTTATCATTTGGGATTTGTGCCTCCCTGTGAAGCCATGAACTCTTTGACAGGAACAAGATGCAGTTTGGCTCTCTGGTTTTATTTGCCTCCACAATATTATTGGTGTGGCTTTCACAGAACACTGCCGTCCACGTCTGCTGGCATAGCATAGGGTGTCTGGTAACCATTATTTGTTGTAGTGGGAAGGCTGCTTATGAATCTGATGGTAACTTTTGCATTCATTCTCTTCATATAACTCTGCTTTTCAAATTACTTTTCTTCTTAGAGTAGCCCAGAAGAGGGAGGATGCTGTTTCCAAAGAAGTGACTCGGAAACTTTCTGAAGCAGACAACAGGAAGATGTCACGGAAGGAGAAGGATGAGAGGTGATGTTCTCAGTGCAAAATTAACCGTACAGTTTGTTCTTGCAGGTTATTTTAATGCCACTCCCTCAAGGGGAATTTATTTCTAGATGGTTTGGGGTCCTTTATTGGTTCCTGTCTTCCAGTGCTTAATTGACTTGAGATTAGGAATGTCCAGCTTACTTGATCTGTTGATCAGTATTTAAAACATCACAGAAATGTTTATTAGGAAATTGGTATTTGTTTTGTTTTTGAGTGAGAACAAGAGTATTATTTGTAAATTCTCTGTCATTTTACATAATTGGGTGTTTTAAAATGCTTTTAAACATTGTTGTGGGAAAAATGTTTTGCAGTGATGGTGAACTGAATGTTCACACTTGTGCATTGGTTTTGAGACTAATGTTCTCAAAAATATATTTCTCTTAAGCTCAAATGAGGAGACTTTACAGTGGTGCTTCACAAGACAGGTGCTTTGTTTAACAAAGGTTACGACGAGGTTTTTGTGATTTGCGCCTCCCCATTACGACGAGGTTTTTGCGATCGCAAAAACAATCGCAAAACGACGTTTTGAATGGGGGAATTTCTCTGCGCAATGATTGGTTCCCGGTTTCGGGAACCAGTTTTCGCTTCCTGACAATCAAAACAGCTGATCGTCGGGTTTTCAAAATGGCCGCCGGGTGCTCAAAACGGCTCCCCGCTATGTTTAGGAGCCATTTTTCGCTGCACAGGCACCTGAAAATGGCCGCCCCTATGGAGGATCTTCGCTGGATGGCGAGTTCTTAGCTGATTGGAACACATTAACCAGGTTTTAATGCGTTTCAATGGCTTTTTTATTTTCACTTTACGACGTTTTCATTCTACAGCGATTTCGCTGGAACGAATTAACGTCGTAATGCGAGGCACCACTGTATCTTGCTTTATTGAGACTGTTAGAGGCCTTTTTTAAAAAAAGAAAAAAAACTGTCGACTTGACAGAGACAAAATCTACCTCATAGTTTTCATTCAGAAACTAGATCAGCTGTAGGCCAGCTTTCAAGACCGAACTGTGGACGGTTTAATCTTTGAGGCAGGCATTAAGCAATTCAGTGTCTTGGAAGCATGTGTACAGGACCACTGTATCTTGCTTTATTGAGACTGTTGCAGGCCTTTTTTAAAAAAAGAAAAAAACCTTTAGACTTGACAGTTAGAGACAAAATCCACCTCATAGGTTTCATTCAGAAACTAGATCAGCTATAGGCCAGCTTTCAAGACCAAACTGTGGAAGGTTTAACCTTTGAGGCAGGCATTAAGCAATTCGGTGTCTTGGAAGCATGTGTACAGCTTTTTACCTGCATTTTAATAGTATGCTTGTGTGCTCCATTTAACAGCTTTAAATGAAGGGCTGGATTGTACTGAAAATACAGTACATGCAGTTTACTTTTTATGGGGGGGGGATGAGGTTTGGGTTTGTTTATTTTCTTGTTTTACTGGACATTTTGAGAAAAGCTTGCTTTGTTAACAGAGATGTGTGCCTCTAGGGCCAGCGATTCCCAGCCTTCTGTCCCCAGATGTTCTTGAACTGAAACTCCTTCACCACTAGCTGTGCTGGCCAGGATTTCTGGGAGCTGAAGTCCAAGAACATCTGGGGATCCAAAGTTACGAAACAACTGCTCTATACCAAACTTACTATTGACCTGGAAATATCTAACACATAACTTTTGCATCTACAGAATTTTGTGGAAGAAAAATGAAGTGGCGGATTATGAAGCAACCACATTCTCTATCTTTTACAACAATACCCTCTTCCTCGTCTTGGTCATTATTGCCTCCTTTTTTATGCTGAAGAATTTCAACCCCACTGTGTATCCTTTTTGGCTTAAAAATTCACATCGCTCTGGATAGAGAGCCCTTGAAATATCTTTATTCTCAATGGGGTAGAATCAAAAAGGCAGTAAGGTACAGTGCTGGAGCAACTAGACCAAACAGTTCGAAAGCATCAAGAGGAACAGTGAAACACAAAGCCCAACACAGATGTCTGTCCACCAGTAATAGACATGAGAATTGTGGTAAAATGTTGGTTATCTAAAGCTTTAATTGCAGTGGGAGTTCCTAGGGCATTTGGGCTTTCTTTGTCAAATAAGACACCTTTGAATAGTTTCATGATCCTCCCCCATTCCTGTTGCTTTGGGGCATGTAGTTTTCTAGAAGGAAATTTGTCTTCCACCTTGAGCAGCAGTTGACCAACTGAGAAAGTCTGTGCTGAGTCAGGATTGGCCAAATTTATTTATTTATTTATTTATTTATTGGACTTATATACCGCCCCATAGCGCTACAAGCACTCTCCGGGCGGTTTACAATTTTAATTATACATTCTCAATAATAATCCTATATCTACTGCAACAGGCCAGGGTTTGTTTGTTTGTTTTATTGAGAGGGCAGACCTGTGCAAAGCAGCTGCCTTTACAAAAGCAGTGGGCAAAATATGATCTTAGGTGTCTGAATGATTTTAACAAAAAGTTTAGTTAGTTCTGTGGTCACTTGTCTGTAAGCTTGTATGTACTTCTAGCCTCCAGAATGAGGTGGTGCTTCTCAGAATCTGATTTCTGTCATTGACCATAATAAATCTCAACTGTTTGTTCAGTATGTGGCACAGTTAGCGAATTATGACAATCATAGCTGTCTTTTTAGCTTCTTTTCGATCTTTGTCCTTGACATACACCCTTTACAGAAACTACATCCTGTCCATCAGTGCTTCGTCTGGATTGATTGCTTTGCTGTCGACAGGCTCCAAGTAGATGGAATTGTTTGGGAGGATGAGTTGTCAACAGTGGTGCACAGCTGTATGAAGAAGGAGGGGTTTTTTTTACAGCTGGAAAACATGAGTTATTTTTTCTTTTTTACAAATAGAAAGCAGGCTGGAAATAGCAATTCAGATTCTATCTTAACTCCACAAGGACAAGCACACCGGGTGTTCCAATGTGGACCCAATTATATATTTCTTTAAAATACATCACAGTGAAACTTCTGCAGCATGTTGCATTCAAGGAACATCAACTGAAAGACACACAAACTGTGTCTCGCATTCTGTATGGGAAAGCTCATCCATATATATTTGCCGACTTTTCCCTCTCAGTGAAACAAATCTTGTTGGTGGCGAGAAGTGACCACGTTTCATAGTGTTTTCTAACCATGTTTCAATAAAATCTTTAAAAATTGTGTTAAGCTTCCTTTTCTATTTCATATGCTCTTGATCAATTTTGGATGCCTGTAGTGCAGTTCTGTACATGTTGACTTGAGTGTAAACCCCACCATGTTTATTGACACTTGTTGCTGAGAGGGTTGCTGTACAGTTGCTTAGATAAGCAGAACCTAATTCTGTTGCTGTTGCGACCTGCTTCTGTTCATACATTTTATACATAGTTTGGATTGCAACCTTCATCCTTGTTTGAGTAATTTCATTTTGCTGGTAAAGTGTGTCTTGGATACTGCTTTCTTCATTGTTTTTTTTTTTAAACTGTTGTGTCTGAAAGTGACAGTTTCTCTCATCTTGCCAAGTCATCAGAACACTTTCCAATAATGACACATATTACTGACAAAAGGAATTACTTAAAGGTAGAACAGTTTCTTCTATTTTAACTCCGTGTTTTTCTTTCTTATGAATTTTTTGTCATCCTAAGACTGTTGGGTAAATGCACTGAGGCAAGACTAGTTACTTGGGTTTATTCAACAAATTAATCTCCCCCTTCCGTGATTACAAGCTTGCTATAGTTTGAAGAACAAAAGTAAAGGTATGGCAGTGAGTAAAACTAGAAAAAAAAAGTTGTTTGTCAGCCACAGTGGAAGAGAAGCATACCAGTGACCACTGGTATTGTTGTTTTGCGAATATTTAGATTATTTAGATTAGAACACAGTTGCACATGGGTAGATGAAGAAGTGATTTCTACAAGTGGAGTAAAGTATGACATATATATGCTCCTAATGGAAGAGCAGTATAGCTGCCCAATTCAGCAGTGTTTTCAGAAAAAATTTACCCCATTTGTAGACTAATACAAGATTATCATATTCAGACTTTAGGCCATGTGACATTGCATACTGAGGTGCATATGTGGTTATGTGAACATGATATTGAAAGATGATGTCATTAACAGCTAGTGAAGTGAATAAAAACTCAAGGGATAGAGTTTAGCAACTAATTTTTAAAATTTGGAATGCCGCATACTTTGGATTGGAAGAAAAACAAATCTGTTAAAAACAAATCTGAAAGACATCAGACTGCTTTTTCCACTTTTTGTTTACTTCAAGTAAAAGCACTGTGAAATACCTGCTGCTGAATATCTCATACTAGCCCCAAACTAGTTGTACAGGTGTTCCACAAATGGCATGACATTTGGAGGCAAATTGCCCCAAGTTAAGAAATCACTGAGTCAAACAGACATTTATTACTTGCATACTGACTTGTTTGACTCAGAATGTGACAGATAATGTCCAGAGTGATTTCTTATCTTGTGGCGATTTGCTTCCAAATGTCACACCATTTGCACGGTTAGCCAAGAAGATTCTGGCCAATGTGTACCCTTAAAATCTTCTGTATCCCAGTGCTCTTAAGGATGAATTAATACCTTTTTCTTTTGTAAAAATTTTCTCTCCTTCATGTGATTGTTTGCACTGAGATGTTGATCTTGAGAGTAACAAATCAAAAAGAGAGAGTGTAGTTTTAATCAGGATAATATAAAGTCTCCTTGCTTGAATTAATTGATCATAGTTTAGGTGCACAAATTGCCTTTATTATGTCCAAGCAGAAATAGAAAGCAGATTCTAGTATACAGCTGTTGAATTAATTTACACAGACTATTCATACGATGAAATACATCAAGAAAGGGAAAAAAGTAGGTCAGTTATTTAACATTCCAGTGTCTTCTATAGTTAAACTCTAATTCTGGGATTATCGGGTGAAAGTGACAAGGGATATACAGGCAGGAGGGTTTGTGATACAGCAGTTTCAGTTGCACATGTTGAGCCCTGTATGAAAAAGTACCTCCTTGCTGATTTCTGTAAGGAAATGTTGTATGTCAAGAACACTATTCCTCTGTTCATTTCAGTGGCTGGACAAATCTTTGGTAAAGACTGCATATTGACAGCAACTACTTCCATTAAAGTGAACAGAGGAACCTGTTTCAGGCAGGAAAAAAGACTTGTGCTGTACTTCCTCCTCCTGAGTGGAGTAGGGTGCCTGTTTGCAGTTGTGCAGAGCGGGGGCCCCGCTCTCCCAAAATGATCTAGAAGCCTTTGAACATACAAAGTACAACTGTATGTCCTTAACCAGCAAGGACAATCAATGCATGAAAGTGTGTTCCAGAGTACAGTCCTTGTGCCTAGATCCAGTTACCCATCTGCAAAAAGAGGATGTGCCGATGACTTATTTGGAACTGATACCTCTGCCCGCCCGTTCCCCTGCACCTGGCTGTTAATCTGAAATTACTGCTGATCATGTACCGCAGCACAAAAGCAATGATTCTGCTATTGTACTGGGCATCCAGCAAGCAACAGCACTTGAGTACTGGATCTGAGCCTTAGGCTGCAATTCCACGCACAGCTCTTTCTGCAATTCCTATTGAATGAAGTGTCTAAAAATCTGTATGATTATGTTTGTACTTCAGCATTCTGGCGGTGGAAGATGGGTGGGATGAAATCTTTTTTTTTTAAAAAAAAATAATTCCACAGTGAAGAGACGTTTCCCAGTCAAAGGCATGGTAAGCCTAAGGACAATCCCATCCCTATTGCATATAGTCCTTTTAAAGAAGCATCATTTTCAGGTTGGCAGAGTAGATTTCCATAGTAAGTAATGAAAAATTAATCCGTCTCCCTTCTCCACCTGTAACAAAGGCAAAATGAAGATCTCTTGTTTCACAGAGGTCCACCCCCAAATATTAAAAATAAAATTCTACAGTGATGGTCACTGTAGCCCAGGGCAGCAAAATAATAAAGCAATCAGCAGTGAGGGTGGGGGCGTAGTTTGTAGTTTGGAGAATGTACTGTTACTGGGTTAATATAGCGGGATCAGTTTCACAAATGCAAAACTCGATAATAACTTAGTCACCTATAAAGATTACTGTTACTGGGTTAATATAGCGGGATCAGTGTCACAACTATGCAAAACTAGATAATAACATTTAAAAGTCACCTATAAGGATTATGCTGCTGCAGGATTATCAGCTGCGTACTCCAGATGTTTTGGGCTGACCATTTCTAGCCATCCTGTTCATTGGCCATGCTGGTGGAGCTGATAGGAGTCAACATCTAAAACATCTGGAGGACAGCAGGTTCAGAAAGGCTAAAACGCAGCCAAGCAATGGCAAAAAGAGAGCCTGCAGTTTGGTGAGAAGAAAGAAAAACCTTTAACCTACCCTGGTTTCAGTCAGAGGTAGAGCAAAGGGAAGCTTCAGACTATCTGTTATGGAGTAGGCAATCCGCTGGTCTCCAGATGCTGGGCTGCACATCCCATAGCCCAGCTAGCTAGCCACCATAGGAAGTGGCAAAGAATGATGTGAGCTGAAGTCCAAATGCAACCTCAGGAGGGACCACGCATTGCTGACCACTGCTTTATCATACACATCATTTATGCTTACAACCCTATACATACACAGAGTCTCTGCTGTTTTCATTCTATCCGTCTCGGCTTTCTACGCAGCTACAAGATGATATTATGCAACCTTGCGGAAGAGGCAAGGCTCACCACCATCTGTAACCACTACCTCTAGCTTCCTTGTTATGCCTAAGCTTAGGGGCAGTTTTCACAATAGCATGTCTGTGTACAGGGTGGGTGTGTAACTTCTAGCAGTGATATAGTGTAGTGAGCTATCTTTGTACTGTGAAGTATTAGGGGAGGGGGCCTGATGTCTTAAGTGGTCATTTAAGACTCATTGGCTTTACAAAAGATGTACTATTGGAGACAAATATTGTTAGAATTTGTTTCTTCTCCCATGGACCACTGCTGTTTCCTATAGTTCTGGAGACTGTGTAGGAGTGGACTATAGGAGAGTATTTTGAGTAGGACCTCCCCTTCACTATCGCTACACCCCTTGTCCTGTATATGCAGAAGTGTGCAGCTTTTGGCATACTGCAGCAGGCACTGGCTTTCAGAATCTTAACAGAAGGGTTCCTTACGCATCCCTGACGTGAACATCTAAACTTTATCCCCCCCCCCACAGTGTTAAAGATTTTGTCCTGAAAATTACTGTGATTTTAGTTTTAATATTTTGAGAGAGAGAGAGAGAGGGAGGGAGGGAGAGAACATTCCTCCTATTAGGCAGAGCTTGCTTGGGGAAAAAAATGCCATTTTGGGAATACAGTCCCCAGCATCCCTCAGCCAGCAAGGACACTCATCATGTCCCATGAATTCTGAGAGCCGTAATCTATGAAGCAGCTGAAATGTGAGGTGAGAGCAGAGATCCTTGTTGTTATGATTATCATAAACAAAGTTTACAGGTAGGAGGGCCTGGGCAAAAAAAAGTCTTTCCTGACATTTCACGAAGACAAACTGATTTTGAAACTCCACATCGCCATATTGTATCACCAGATGGAGGTCAGCACAAAGCGGAGGAAATGAATCCCTTTCACGCCATGTGAACATCTGGTCTTCAAAAATTATTGTACAACTCTGCACATTATATACATTTATTATACATAGTTTATAGTCTGGATAATCAAAGTTGCCATAGCTATGTCTATAAGCTGCCAAAGGAAAAGCATGTTTCAATAAAAGAGAGCCTTTGATTGTGGCATTTTGATTTCCATTTTCTGTAGCAGGAGCAATGTTTATTTTGATTTCCCTAGCTAAGATCTCATGACTCTTTCAGCCCAGCTTTAAACATCCTGACCCAAAGGTGGCTCTCTTTGTTTTCATAATGCTTAGCATTAAGAATGCAATGTGATCATAGCCTTTGTCCTTAAGAAAGAGACACTATAGATAAAAGGTGTGGTCCAATCAAAGTTAAGCACTTTAAAATCCTGTTACTTCAATGGGAGTGTAAAGCACATTAATAAAATAGCCCCAAAAGCTCCAGGAGCAGGTTAGATAAGCTTAATTAAAAAACAAGAGCATTCCTTCCCGTAGACTAACCGACAACAGATGTTCTGTGCCTATTTATCTAAGAGTAAGCCCTACTAGATAGGCATCCTTCAGTTCCAAGAGACTATGGTAACGTGCTCTGAATAGAGGACTTGGAACAGCATCTAGTGTGAGTGAAGAGGCCAATTTGAGAGTGACAGTTCCTTCCACACTGAAGACAAATACAATCTGTCCCCTGTCCAGCTCCCTGATTTTGCTGGTTTTGGGACTGCCTCTTTGCCTCGGCCTTAGACCGAGGCCCCACTATATAGATTTGCGTATGTGCAGGCCTGTTCTGTAAATGTCTGTAAATTCTGTTTAACAGTACATTCCTGAGCATGTTTCCTCAGAAGTAAGTAGTAGTATGTTCAAGAAGATTTACTCCCAGGTAAATGTGTGCAGTGCTTCAGTGCTTACCTTTGGCTGCATCATACCCTCCCTTGTTTGTGGGAATGTGCATCTGCCAAGGACAATTTATCTCAAATCCTGAAATGACTGGTGGACATAAACTGCTGTAAGTTCTTAAGAAATGTTTCTGTCTTCAAATGGACAGCCCTTTTTCTGTCAGTGCCGAAACTAGACTAGTACTGTAGAACTCATCTCAGCCTTAAAAAAGCAAATGAAAAGCAAACCTGAATTAATTTATCCTTGATAAATCTTTACACTTGAAACATTTTGTAATATATCTTTAAGCAAAACCTTTATCTGGCTTTTTGTTTGTTGCAAAAATATATCTGTACACCCTTCTTTTAATTTCCAGGTACTTAAAGATTAGAAATCTTGCATTGTTTCTTTACATGTTTATTTGTTACTGCATAAACAGGAAAGGTCATAGGAAAAGTAACCATCAGTGGGGCACAACCAGGTGAGATGTTCTGTCTGACTCCAGGGGACCTTCGGATCAGTGTCTCATGTAATGCCTTCACAAATAGTACTAGTAGCAGGGAGTGAGTCCCAGTGCAGTTCACCCACACATATTAAAACCTGCCCCACAAGGGTAGGGAATCCACCAAAGTAGCTTTTTTTTGCATTGCAGAGGTATGAGGGGGAGGGCAAGTGGGGTGGGTGGGGATCCTGACATGACTACTAGCATAACCCAGACAGGATTTGCCCCCACTGGGCTAGGCCCATCACCCAGAGTCAGAATTGAACCAGAAGTTTTGTGACTATGCACTACAAAGAGGAAGGACAATCTCAGCTGTTCAGAGAGATCCACTGTGCTCTTGGATGTTGGCGAAGCACACCACCTTGAAGAATCTAGTAGACAAGAGAGACTGCTGAATAATTGTAATTATAACTGGGTAGGATTGACTCAGTACTGCACAAGGTACAGAGTGCTATTTTAGCCATGCAGTCCAGTTTAATCATGCAAAGCATTAGGATCTGTAGTCTTTCTTGCTGTAAGGTTTGTTCCCCAAAATATTATCAATTTCGTTCACAATGTGGGATGTCATCTTCGGAAGAACCTGTGGATGTAAAAAGCACACATTTGCTTTATTCCAGGTTATTTGTTCATTGATTTTTATATTTTGAAAGAAGAGATTAAAATGCTCCAAAGAGCCCAAGATAAGATGGACTCTGTTGTTCCCCAAAATATTATCAATTTCGTTCACAATGTGGGATGTCATCTTCGGAAGAACCTGTGGATGTAAAGAGCACACATTTGCTTTATTCCAGGTTATTCGTTCACTGATTTTTATATTTTGAAAGAAGATATTAAAATGCTCCAAAGAGCCCAAGGTAAGATGGACTCTGTACAATGTAATTTATAAAATTAAGACGCACAGACTTTCCACCCCCCTGTTTTGTGGGAAAAAAGTGCGTCTTATGGTGCGAAAAATACGGTAATTTATAAAATGTATATCAGCTTGAACAAATCTCTTGACCTACCCTGCCCCTGTCTGCTAAACATAGAGGAGAATGTTATACTTGCCTGTATGGCTCCAAGATTCTCTATTAGTTGCTCTGGATTGGAAGAGCCAAGGAGAACAGAACTGACACCTTCATTGCGTAGACACCATGCTGGGAACACATAAAGCATATGACACTCAGGAGCGTTGCTCAATATAAATGGAAGTCCTTTGAATGAATGTTCGTGGGCGCCACACATAACTTGCTTCTGCTTGTTCCTACACTGTTGCAGCCTCCATTCATTAGGATTCCCGAATCCTCTGCACAGCAATATCAGACGGCTGGTGGGACTGCTGTGGGGAGGAGAGGAAGGAATATCCCCTTCCCCGGTTAAGTTTAAATCTGGATATAACCCCAAGTGTGTGTACTGGACCATCCTAAATGATAATTTATTAGGTAGCTCAAGATGGGGATAATGAGAAGATGCAGCTAATTCTGTTTCTGCCCCAGAGCTTGGAATGAACTAGTTACAGATATTTTGTTTGTATTTTATTTTCCCAGCAACAAGGGTCTAAGAAAATTATACTATGATCATAACATAATGAGGTATAACTTCCTTCCTTTTGTAAATGTTTAATTCTGTTAACATAATTAAATGGTGGAGGAAGAACAGTATGTGGTTGGTTTACTACATTTATATTTTGCCTTGTTCCCTTGCCAAACTCAAATATGTTTAAAAGTTCAATTCAAATGTTGACTTCAGAAATAGGTATTTTGAAAATTGTAACTATGGTAGTTTCTAACTGCTTCTTAGGGTCTTTGAACTATTACTGCTGTTCATATTTAGGTCTTCAGTGAAAGCTGTGCTCTACAGCCCAACACTGGTTTAGCAACGGAGGCCACCACTGTGGCGGCACATAATCCTCACTGTGCATTAACTTGGAATGTTGGAGAGGCCATAGCATAATGGCAGAACATACATTTTGCATACAGAAGGTCCCAGGTTCAATCCCTGCCATCTCCAGGTAGGGCAAGGAAAGATCCCTGCTTGACACTCCAAGGAGCTTCTGCTAGTTAATATTGACAATATGGGCTAGATAGATCAATGGTCTCAGCATAAGGAAATGTCCTTCCTGTTTGGATGGTTCCTTCCTTTCCAAAGTTCAGATGTCAAGCGAAGTGTTCTTCTCTCCTAGACGTCTTGTTCCCCTGGGATTTTTCCATTTATTGCTTCTCTTTTTGAATTTTGCCGAATTGAATTTTATCTGTAATTCTGATGTATATATGTTGCAATCTGTTTTTGCATTTTAATTACATCTTTTAAACTCTGATAAATTATTAGCTGTCTTATGGGTCTACATGCCTGAATTTTTCCTTTCACCAGTTTAAACTCTGATAAATTATTAGCTGTCTTATAGGTCTACATGCCTGAATGGAAAAGGAAGATAAACACATTTTAGTATTTTTTTTTAAGTCCACTTAAATTTATTAGAATGCAGGACTGGTGAAAGGAAAAATTGAATGTCGTTCTGCATAGATACAATTTGTGGCTTGCTTTAGTCACAAAAATAATTGGTGTCATTAAGAACTGTTCTTCAGTTCTCCCCTGATTACAGATTATGAGATGTCTCTTCCATTATTGGTTTGCAAAACTGCAGAAAAGGCTCTCCAGATTGGAAGTCTGGGGAACTGGTTGTGGCACAAGCTAGCCTCTTCGGAAACAACTCTGTATACCTTTGTATATTTATTGTATGCAATAAAGGTGGGGTAAAAATATTTTAAATCAAAGGAATAAATAATTTCTAAACAAAACATGTTTTTAATTGAAATGCATTAGTGCGTTATTATTATTTTTGGTCAGGGATAGAAGAAGCTGAGTCTCAAAGGCTACTTGAACTTCATAGGATCATTCGTCTCCTATCTCATCACGCGTATGAAAGGCAAACTGTGCCTTTCACAAGGCAAGAAAAAGGCAGAGCAGTTTAAAAAAAAAAAAGAAAAAGACAAATAGCCTCTCTTGAATTTCCGTGCTGGGTGAGCAGCATTGTAGCCACTGGACTTAACCAGGACTGCACAGCTGTTGAGAGGGAGCCATCTGCCAAGAAGAGACAAGCAAGAATATTAACAGCCCTGCTACTCATGATTATTTTATCACAATTGCCAGTCTGGCTTTGCTGCTGTCATCTATAAAAATGGGGTTCTTTTTGCTGAAATGCGAGGAATTCAGTAGTTGCATCTTGGATGCAGCCTAGCAGTTGAATAACTTTGTATTATCACTTTGTGCAAAATGGCCTCTCCATTGCACCAGCAGAGTGTGATTTTAACAGTTACCATTGCATTTTGGTTGCTTTTTAATTTGTTTTATATTTAGATTAATCTGTCGCATAATCTGATGGCACTTCTTTCACTACTACAAAATTTTCCATTCTGGGAATTATACTTGACATACAGAAACCGAAACGTGGCTCACTTGAGAGAAGGGCATAAGCTGAAAGGCTTTGTGGCCTAGCTAAGCCTGGTTCCGCCAAGCTTCACATTCAGAAAAGAGGTTTCCGGCTAGCTTGCCTAAAATTCTATGTTTGGGGAGGATACAAATTAGAGATGCAATCCTAGCTAATCAAACAAACCTATCCATTTTGAAGGAAATCAACCCTGAGTGCTCACTGGAAGGACAGATCCTGAAGCTGAGGCTCCAATACTTTGGCCATCTCATGAAAAGAGAAGATTCCCTGGAAAAGATGCTGATGTTAGGAAAGTGTGAAAGCAAGAGGAGAAAGGGGCGACAGAGGACAAGATGGCTGGACAGTGTCACCGAAGCTACCGACATGAATTTGACCCAACTCCGAGAGGCAGTAGAAGATAGCAGGGCCTGGCGTGCTCTGATCCATGGGGTCACGAAGAGTCGGATACGACTGAATGACTAAACAAAGTTTTGACTCAGATCTACTGAGCCTCCTCTGAGATTAACCATCTTGCCTGGGGCCCAGAAATGTTAAATGTTTAAGGAATAGTTGTGGGTGTGAAAGCCAGTGTAGCTAGTGGATAGAGTGTTGGATTAGAACTCAGGATATCTAAGTTTCCTGGTTGGCTAGGGAAAATCACTGGTGGGGTGGTAGATGGCAATGTTAAAACTCTCTTTGAACTTTTCATACACCTTGAAAATCCTGTTAGGGTTTCTATAAGTCAGAAGTGACTTGAGATCACAGAACAAAAACCATTGTGGGTGCATATTTATTGCTGACTCCAGTGGACATCCTTACAAAATTATTCATCCCCTGCAAGCATGTGGGAGAGTGTTTTGACCAGTTTTGGGGGGAAAGGGAGAGGTAGTGCTGTACTAAAATCCAATTTCCAATTTCCTTAAGGTTTTCCTCCTCAATGAAGGAGGAATAATTAGCAAGCAGTTAAAAGTGGCACTTCCTCAAGTACATCATAGTTTTTATAACTGTGTCACCTTCATATGTTGCATTCAGCAATGCTTTGTTTTGTGATTGGCCTTCGGAATGTAAACACAAGCTTACTTTGCAAGTCTGATTGCTGAAGGCCCATACTTCTGACAAATTCCCATTGCTGGAGGGCAAATACATTAATTGCAGGGAATATCATAACATCTAGTTTGATCTATATTCACAGGACATTCTAGAATGTCTTTTGGTGGTGTTTTTGACTTTATCTTATTGCTATACGGTAGATGAGGATGCTAATTTGTTTCTTTTCTTTTCACGTGATCACTCTGCAGCCTCCCTGTCTGCTCATACTTCCTAATTTGTTACCTTGGTGATGTTTGTCAACAGCTATGTGCACATTGCTTAATGTTAAATCACAATCCCCATGAAGCAGAAAGCTGCTCTAGAGCGAGCTGTCACTTTGGATGTACCTTTTGCAGTGCATTATACTCCTCCAGGGGAGTGTGCTGCTAACTTTGGCTTCGTTCAAGAATTTAAATGGAAAATAAAATGCTTAACAATATTAGTGAATGCTTCAGTGGGTCAGTTGAATGTTGCGTTCATCTTGCAAGGGTCACATAAGAACAAAACAAAAACAGCTGAGAATGCAGATGGACCCGGAGCCAGTATGATGGGCTTCTGATTTAAAGACCTGTATACAAGCTCCATGTAAGAATCATTAATCAATACCCTGTTAGTATTGACAGATAGTCCTGGTCCATACATTATTGTTACCACATTTCAGATAGGCAGTAAAAACTACACTGTTTCACTAACCCTTTCATGGATTTTAATCCTGTTCTTTAGCTTGTTTGAAGTGTCTACTTCCGCTACTATCTGGTTGTTACGATGTCTTGATCATAAGATCATAATAAATGTTGTATTATGACTTCAGATGGTTTTAGCAGCCCAATGGGAAGAAAAGAAATCTATAAATACTTTAAATAATGAATAAACTATGTTCCCCTTATGTGTCTAGAGCAATCACTGGCAAAACGCCTTCTTCCAGTAAGCTCTGCCCAACCCACTCAATTATCCCAGGCCAAGCGGTTCAAATCTCTGACTCTGAGAAAAGGCTGGAAAGAGAAGACCAGGAACTGGGACTTCTCCACATTTGTGCCTCACCTATGGAATAAACCCCCGCCCAATATTCACCTAGCCCTCCACTGGGGATCTTTAAGAAACTGCTTAAAACATGGTTATTCAGACAAGCCTTTCCAGATATTGCACCAGCAGAGCGCAGCCCTTAAACTCCACCATCTTACTTGTTAAAATTTACTTGTTATGTTTTAATTTTAGACTAATTGTTTTTCTGTTGCTTTTTAATTTAATTGACTGATACGTTTATTTGATATTTATATTGTGGCTATGTTTTGTGGCTATTATTTATTCTGTTATTGTGGTTTATTTTGTTGTGAACTGTCCAGAGTGGCGTTAGTAGCCAGATGGGCAGTGTATAAACTGAATAAAGTAAGTAAATGAATCCTTGGAAAAATCATCCCAAACTTGGGACCTCTATCTGTCTCACACAAGTTATTATCACTTAATCAAGTCATTTTTCATGTTGCAACTAAGCATGAGGAACAGACTGTCTGGGCTATGAGAAAGGGCCTTTCTCTCTGGACTGTCCCAAGACAGTGCAATGACTTTTCTTTAGAGAAGAGGAGGTCAAGTGTGGCCGTTCAGGTCTTATCAGACTCCAGCTTCCATTAATGCCTTACTGTTGTTTTTTCTGGCTAGGGAAGGAGGTTATGCCTAAAGGCCTTAGCTACCCATCCCTGCTTTCTTTTTAAAGTGTTTTAACTTTCCCGCTAGCATTTTAGATTCTTTCTTTGGTCATCACAATTCAATTATTTTATGCTATACTTCAATTCGTTTCAATTAGAGTTGCAATATTTAATTAATTAACCAGTAAGATTATGTGATTAGTTTTCTTCTCAAGTAAAGAGAACTTCCCAACCCCCAATTAACTAGTCAGTAGTTTTTTAAAAAAAAAATGGGACTGGATCCACACTAAGCCATTATTTCAGCACAGCATGCTCTAAACTTCACAAATTAGAAGGATTCAGGAACAGGCATACTTATAGGAGAACCTGTTACAATCAATTGAATTTAAGTTCTTCCAGACTAACTTTAGTCACATTGGATGAAATCTAGCAACATCATTTACAAAGCTGACATTATCAGATGCAGTAGTTTTTCGGAAATTAAAAAAATTCTGATTCCACACCACAAGGTCCTGAGGATCATGTAGAGTGCCCTTCATTGTAGGGAACTGTGGTGGGGTCCTACAAAGATGAGTAGTCTTTAATTTCCAAAAAATCATTGCAGCTGGAATGATTGTACTGGTGACAGAGATGATGACACCATCAGCCTTATGCCATGGTATTTACAGCAACAGGATTTCAGTGAGTTTACTGCCAGTACATTTAATCCTGGATCCTGCTCTCTTTTAAAAAAATAATTTAATTACAGTACTGTACTTGTAAAAGCTGCAGATGGCAAGAGCTCTCCAAAAACTGGGCAACAGGTCCTTTTCTGAGTTAACCCCTTCCAATCCATGGAAGGCAGGCTGTATTGTTTCGATCTTTATGCAGATAAATACAAGTCAAATTGATCTCAGTCAGTGGGCTGAAACTCAAATGATTAACCTTTCTAAAAACAAAACAAAAACCAAATTCTATTTAAATAGCTGTTTCCTGTATGCCATCATCTCAAGTCTTGGGAAGACAGCATAGAAATGTTATAAATAAGTAAATTCATAAATAAATAGTAGTTATCTGAGCACATCAGGACCAATTCTTAGAAAAAGGTACTGATGTTTCCTAGAACCTTTATACACATTATAATCAATGGTCTCTCCTCCACATGACAATAGCCAAGTGAACCATTACCAAGACAAAGAACTGAAAAGTAAACAATGAAGAAAGAGAGCAACATCTAGGATTTCTCACCAACGGCTAGCTGAGGTAGTGTGCATCCCAGGCGTTCAGCGATCGGGAACAGATCTTTCAGTTTGCTTTGCTGTTTCCTCCCTTCCTCGCTCACGATTTTCTCCTTTAGCCACTGATAGCACTGGCAAATCAAAACACAATTAGCACTTTTCAAACCACAATCCCAGCAGTGTAAGTGGCAAAAAAATGCAAGAGCTCATCCTGACATTTCTCTTAGCGACCCCCAAAAATGCAAGTTCCTGGATCAGTCCATTATCAACAAATAAGGGGCAGGACTTTTACAAAACTAATGACTCTTGATCTCCTACTCAGGTCCAAAACATTCTCAACCACACTGTTTTATCCTAGAGATTACTCGCATATACTGTTCCTGGGGAAATCCCCGTTACTGTAGGATTGCTCAGTCCATTATCAACAAATAAGGGGCAGGGCTTTTACTAATGATGCTTAATCTCCTACTCAGGTCCAACACATTCTCAACCACACTGTTTTATACCAGAGATTACTCACATATACTGTTCCTGGGGAAATCCATTTCTCTCCCCGCTACTGTAGGATTGTAGGCCAGCTCAGAAAGAACAGAGAAACCTGGAAGGGATGCCCCAGCCTTTGCTTCTCAAAAGTCCCAGAGTTCAACCTTCAGTGCCCTGATTTCACTGACCGTATCACAGCATCTGTACCATTTAAATAATATTCTAATCACTCTTGACCTCATGCAGGATCACTGCCATCTTAGAGCCTTATTAGATTCACACTCATTTCTAGATACTGGCAACCTGATGTATGAGCTGAGGCCACTGTGTGGCATTTCCTTGCCAGGGTTGGCAGGGCTGGCTAGTGTTCATGCAAGGAATTATATTAACCAGCATTTTCGGAGGAATGGAAACTGACCACAGGGATGCCAATATTCATGGTGTGTGAGAGATAACAGAGGTATGATGTTTCTAGCCAGAATGTAGCGATTCATAGCACTATAGTGACTCTTTGACTGAAGAAAGAATCTCATTGATTCCGCAAAGACTAGGCTCTGGACAAACAAGAAACTTCTGAAGGAAAATAACTTTGGATCAGTAAAGTAGGAGATACGGAGAGGGAGGAAGTCTGATGGTTAACGTTTAGTATGGACACACTAGCTAGGGGCCAGCCCTATCATTAGGCAGACTGAAGTGAATGTTTCAGGCAGTAACAGCATCCCAGATGCTCTTTCAGAATTCTCTAAATGCTGCCTTGTGTAGAAAAAGTTGTATATAACAATGGACCATATATTTTGGCCTTCAGTGCATTTTACAGCAACTCCAGGGAGTCCCACTAGCAAGGTAAACAGCCAGAAATTCTAGAATCTGAAGTCCCAATTATTCAGGATACCAGAAGTACAAGTAAGATTGTACAAATCCTACAGTACGAACAATGCAGTACAAATAGGACTGCACTCTACTGGAACTCTTTTCCATTCCTAGAAACTGATTTTCTGTCCTTGTGCAATTTGTACTATTTCAGGACAAGCCTATGAGTCGTTCTGCTGGTGATCATGAAGGTTGGTGGATTTTGGGAGTGGTAGCCCAAAAGTAACTTTCATTTCTTCATTTGTGTTTAACATCACCCACAGAAGCTAGTGCTAAATCTCTACAGATGGTAAGGTATACAAAAATCTTTTTTTATTTGTTCCCCTTCTGGCAAACCATGTTCCTGCTAAATATCTATCTGCTCATTTTCTGACTACTTTAGAATGTAATGAACCCTGCTTTTCCAAAAGAATATTATAGCTCAGTTTCCCCTCCAAGTAACCTTCAGAATAATGTTAATTCTGGAAACAAACATCTTTTTTTTTAGCTGCAAACAAGTCTGAATGCTTGCTACTAGGTACAAAGAGTGTATTATTTGAGGGTTTCCCTTCACCAACAGGCCTATAATAAATTTAAAGTCTATTATCTAAAAGTACTTTCTCCCCATGGATGTGGTGGCGCTGCGGGTTAAACCGCAGAAGCCTCTGTGCTGCAAAGTCAGAAGACCAGCAGTCATAAGATCGAATCCATGCAATGGAGTGGGCTCCCATCGCTTGTCCCAGCTCCTGCAAACCTAGCAGTTTGAAAGCATATAAAAATGCAAGTAGATAAATAGGTACCACCTCATGGGGAGGTAACGGCGCTCCGTGTCTAGTTGCACTGGCCACGTGACCACAGGAACTGTCTATGGACAAATGCTGGCACTACAGCTTGGAAATGCGGATGAGCACTGCACCCTAGAGTTGAACACGACTGGACTAAATGTCAAGGGGAACCTTTTACTTTCTCCCCTTTTACTTTCTGGAAGAAAATTTGTTATTTTCCAAACAATGCTCTTTGTGCCTTCAAGGATTTTGGCAAAGCATCTATCCGGAGTACTTAAGAAAAATCCTATAACAGTGCCACTTGCTTCCCCTGCATTTCCCATATACCACTCTGTGAATGTACTGGCACAATGGAATGTGGTGCATCATGATTAACCTGATGGCCTTGTTAAGCAACTTTACTGCAGTTGGGATTCACTCAACTCCAGCAGTGATGCTCTTGTATTAGAAGTCTTCTATTTATGATTTTTGTAAAAGTTTCTCTGAGATATTTGAGGTATGAAACATGTTCATTTTAGAGGAGAGCTTATTGGCTGAAAGACCCTAGAGACTAATACAGAATCATTGTTCAGATCTGTCCTGCTTAATGTCAAAATAGCCATTATAGTATTCAATCTACAGGAGAAGAAGACTGCATAGGAAATCCATCTATCTTTGTTTTCTAGGCCTCTGTTTTCCCCACTCCTCTCCCCTCCCCCCTTTCATCACTGTACTGAGCTCAGAAAATGCTCTTCTCTTGTGTGTGGGAGAAGTACCTTCAGAGAAGCCCTTGAGCTGTCAGGAATTCCATTGGCGTATTTCCCTGAAATAATGCCACAGGCCAGCGGAGACCATGTCATCGCTCCAACACCTGAGAAACCATCAAAGAGACAAGATGGCACTGAGTGAATATCACAAAGGTCACACGCACATGGCTGCACAGAGAAGCATTATTAATTTAGAAAGAAGTGTGGAGCCTATTTTGTTTGCTTTTTTATGGGTGGGGGGAATGTGCTCAATTGATCATTCTAATTTTCAAAGAGCTAAGCCCGTAAGCTAGTGCTGCTGCTGTGCCATTGCTTGCTTACTGTCTAGAAGATATTAGCAAGAATGGCAGCAACCTCTAGGGTGCTTCTCTTAACATCCCAGTCATGTTCTTGCCCTGTTCCATCAGCACATGCTATCCCATCAGCAGTCCAGCCAGCTTCCATATGAGGGAAAGGGCAGGGCTGCCACACCATTCTTAAATTCATCCGTTTTTTTTCCTGGGCTGGCTGTGCTTTAATCCCAAGGCAGTCCCAACACACCACCGTGTTGCTGTCATGGGCTTCTGACAGCATACTAATAATGATAATAATAAATTATAGAGGAAAGCTATTACAGCAGCCAGGAAGACATGCTGTCACTCACCTCTTCGCTCAGGATAATTGCTCATGGCAAGAGATTAATTGCACTGGTGATAATTATTGAACAGCAGGGATGGTGAAACATTTTTGAGCATATTGCCTTTGCATGAAAATGATCAGCTTCCTATAGAACAGTGAAGTCTTCAGGCATTACCTATCTTGTGGTATAGTTCCGGCAACTGAACCTCGACTTTCTCTCTCTGGAAAAGGTGGTATTCTGCTTGTTCACACACTGGTGGGATCATATTAAATTGTCTCGCAACAGAATAGGCTTCCTAGGGAGAGTCAGCAGCAAAAGAATAGCACATTAGTAGCAACTTCTCCAGGGAACATAAGACAACATTAATCAAACCAACCCTTCCTCTTTCCTGAGTCACTGCATAATTCAGATCCATTTATTATGGCTGTGGTCTTCAATCTGTGTGATTAATTGATGAAAAAAAATTTTTTGATCAATTAAACAGGCACCCATGATTAATTAGGCAGCAGATTTATTTATTTATTTAATTCAGGAGGCTTATTGTTAATAAAATATTATGAAAACTACAGATAAATGCCATCAAATAAGCCGCACAATCTGTATGATAAAGCATTATTTTAAAATGTTTGCGTATATCATGAAAAAACAAGGAAACACACCTTCTCTAGAGAACAATCCTTACATGCAAATTTCTTCTAATTTAATTGGCTAATTAACTGTTTAATTGGCTAAGACTCTGATAAATATGACAGACAAAGGAAGACTTCCTCATTTCTCTAAAAAAAACAAGAGACTTGCACTCATCTCTACTTTTTGTCCTTGTTAAAAAAAAACCCACTGAAAATAAAAATCCACCAAATTGCTGTGGTACTTAGTGAGTATTGAAAAACTGGTGATGGAAATCCAGCTTTAGACATTGATTATTTGTACTCTGGTGTGATTTGGTAGAACCTCAACACCATAAGGCTCACAAATGAATACCATAAAGTTCTGCATGGACTTTTCTGAGAACTAGTGTCCAAAAGCAACTAGCTATGACTAATATTGCATGTAAATGATCAAGTTTTGTTAACAAAGTTACTTTTTATGTTTAATGAGTAACATTTAAGTTAGATGGAACAAGTATCAAGCAGTTGTCTGGAAGTTGAGTCATGGCAACTGAACTTCTTCCTTATTAGACTGAAACGCTTCGCTACTCATCCAAGTTGCTTCTTCAGTCTACTACTTGGATTAGCAGTGAAACATTTCAACCTAATAAGAAAGAAGTCCAGTTGCTATGAATAAATTAGATAGATAGATAGATAGATAGATAGATAGATAGATAGATAGATAGATAGATAGATAGATAGATAGATAGATAGATAGATAGATAGATAGATAGATAGATAGATAGATAGATGGATGGATGGATGGATGGATGGATGGATGGATGGATGGATGGATTGACGGATAGGTAGAAGATAAATAGATACTACATAATTCATAAAATATAATGTATTTAAGTAGAAATTGATTTCCTGTATTGGGAACACGAAATACCAAAAGTGTTCATCTAATTCTTTTAAGTTTGGGCCTTTTTATATACATAGCCATTTCTGGGTCTGGTGCAGCTGGTGAGGAGTGATACGGACAAAATTTAGCCCTGATTTCTGCCGAAATTGCTCAGGAATGCTCTACCAGCATACATGCTGTGACACCAGAGAAGGTAGTCAAAGTCAATTACAGCAACTTCTTCTCTATAAAAGGGACTCTTGCTTTCTTCAGACCATATGCTCCATACTGGTCATAACAGCTATGTAGTAACAGCTATGTATTATTACATATGTATTACTACATAATAGCTATGTAGTACCTGCACTATCGGAAGGCCCCTTGAACACACTTTTCTGGGGACTGTGAGGAGAAACACACCATTGCCTTGTGGACTTCCCTTAGGAGTCCCATTGGTCACCCATGGGAGGAGATTGCTGAACTAGGTTTAGTCTAATGTAATGTTTTGCTGATGTTTAAAACTGATAACATAGATGTATGTAATGTTTTGCTGATGTTTAAAACTGGTAACATAGATGTACTGCTAATATCCTCTCAACATTTTGTTCCCCCACCCATGATCTACAAGAGAGATCTTTTTTTATCAAAAAGAGACAAAAGAGGTTTTTTTTTTACAAAGTCAGTAAAAAGTGTCAATGCATTACCTCCAGTATCACAAGCAGTATACTAATTTGTTTGATTGATTGATTGACTGATAGATTGATTTATATACTGCCCTTCTTCCTTCATGGACGACAACTTTCAGAATTCCCTAGCT